CATTGTCACTATCATTTTTATTACAGTAGCGCATAGAGGGCACAACCAAGATCAGGGCACTGTTGTGCTGGGCAATGTAAAAACACACATTAAGAGATAGTCCCTGCTCTGAGAAACTTACAACCTAAATAGACAAGATGGACAAAGGATGGGAGGGGAAACAGAGGCCAAGTGACCTGCTCAAGATTACAGCAGGTCAGTGGCAGATCTGGGAACAGAATGCAGGTCTCTTGCCTTCCAGACAAAGGCCCATGCTGCCTTCCAGCACTTGTGCTTTGGGTTTTAACTGCCATTCCCTCGCTGAGATTTTGGAATTGTTCTACTTCATTTCCTCACATTTGTCACCCACTGGGGTATACAGGTTCACTCACTTACAAGGGCCTGATCGCTGCCTTCCTTACATACCCCAAACACCCACCCCCTGAAACTCCGTGACATTTTCAAGGTAAAAAGTCATTCAGACAGAGTCTGACTTTGTCTTGCTCCTTATTAATAAATACTCTAGTGTTCTACTGTGGTGGCTTGTAACACTCTAGTAAACCTGCTGTAAGCAGTAGTCTTCTGGCAAAATACTGCAGAAAGGTTTGCAGCATATTTGGAAGGTTGGGTGTTATAGCAAGGAAGTTATACCTTAATTAAATAACCTAATCAAAACCATTGAACGTCAATGGGAATTAGGTGCCTAACTCACTTAAGGTACGTCTACACTACAAAATTATGTCAACCTAAGTTACGTCGAGTTACCTAAGTTATGTCAACCTAAGTTACCGCAATAATTAAATCACTTTTGCATGTCCACACTATGCTTCTTGGGTCAGCAGTGCATGTCCTCACCAGGAGTGCTTGCGCTGATTTAGCTGTTAGTGTAGGGCATTGTGGGATGGCATCTGAAAGGCAGAGAGACAGTTGACGAAAGTAATGAAGGGTCTACACTAACACTGTATCAAACTAACTGCATTGACCTAAGTGCTACGCCTCTCACGGAGATGGAGTTATTAAGTGGGTGTAGTGGGTGAGTTACATGGGCGGGAGCAACATTTTAGTGTAGACGCTTACAGTATTAGGTCAACATAATCTGTAACACAAGAACTAGGGGCCACCAAATGAAATTAATAGGCAGCAGGTTTAAAACAAAAAAAGGAAGTATTTTTTTCACATAACGCACAGTCAAGCTGCGGAACTCCTTGCCAGAGGCTGTTGTGAAGGCCAAGACTATAATAGGGTTAAAAAAAACTAGATAAATTCATGGAGGATAGGTCCATCA